AAAAAAAGAGGCCAGGTGCGGTGGCTCAGGCCTGTAATCCCAGCACTTTGGGAGACAGAGGCAGGCAAATCATAAGGTCAGGAGATCAAGAACGTCTTGGCCAACATGATAAAACCCCATCTCTACTAAAAATACAAAAATTAGTCAGGCATGGTGGCGTGTGCCTGTAGTCCCACTACTCTGGAGGCTGAGGCAAGAGAATTGCTTGAACCCAGGAGGCAGAGATTGCAATGAGCCGAGATCATTCCACCGCACTCCAGCCTGGGCAACAGAGTGAAATTCCGTCTCAAAAAAGAAAAGAAATAGAGGCGAGATGGATTATGAGGTCAGGAATTTGAGACTAGCCTTGTCAACATACTAAAACCCTGTCTCTATTAAAAATACAAAAATTAGCCAGGTGTGGGGGCACACGCCTGTAGTCCCAGCTAATTGGGAGGCTGAGGTAGGAGAATCACTTGAACCCGGGAGGCAGAGGTTGCAGTGAGCCGAGACCATGCCATTGCATTCCAGCCTGGTTGCAGCTGGAGTGAGACTCCGGCTCAAAAAGAAAAAAAAGAAAACGTGATTATTAGTTATTGGTGAAGAGAGGAGATTTAAAGATAGGGAAGGAGTGAAAAGTTATCTAGAGGATTAGGTGAGTGAATGTACCAGGTTTTTTCCAGACATCCCACTCAAGGTTCGTAAATTTAAAATGAGACTAGTCAGTATGGCTGTGTTCTTTTCTGCCTGCATGATTTTTGTTTTTCAGCTGTGTGGGTTTAGGGGCGTAATTGACAGAGCACTGAATTTAATGAGAATTGTGGTTTTATGACAAAGGGATACAGCACAATGGAGTTGAAGGTATATGCAAAAGAGTGGTTACAGTAACAGACCATGGAACCTAAGCTTTTTTTTTTTTTTTTTGAGACAGGGTCTTGCTCGCTCTGTCACCCACACGGGAGTGCAGTGGCGTACTCTTGGCTCACTGCAGCCTCGATCTCCCAGGCTCAAGTGATCCTCCTGCCTCAGCCTCTTAAGTAGCTGGGACCAGGGACCACAGATGCTCACCACCATGCCTAATTTTTTATTTTCACTGTTTTTAGAGACAGGGTCTCACTATAATACTCAGGCTAGTCTCAAACTACTAAGTTCAAGCAATCCTCCCACCCCATTCTCCCGAAGTGCTGGGATTACAGGCTTGAATCACTGTGCTGGCCATAAGCTTCTTACATCATCAGTTTTTTCTTAATGACTTGACAGCCCTCATCAGTACAATGTAATTTCTCCTACCTCTTTTTTTTTTTTTTTTGTTAACATAAATGACTTGATGGAAATTTCTCCTACCTTATGAGTCCCTTCACCTCACTTCCCTCTCTAGTTACCAGCCCCCTTTACTACAAAACTCTAAAGAGCAGCCTATACTTGATATCTCTGAATCTATACCATTTAGGTTCATCACCCCAATTACACTGAAACTGCTCTTTTTAAGATTACGAATGTTACAGTGGCTCATGCCTGTAATCCCAGATCATGAAAGGCTGAGGCAGGAGGATCACTTCAGCCCAGAAGTTTGAGACCAGCCTGAGCAACACAGCAGGACCCCATTTCTATAAAAAATTTAAAAACTAGGCTGGGTGCAGTGGCTCACACCTGTAATCCCAGTGCTTTGGGAGGCCAAGGCAGGCAGATCACTGGAGGTCAGGAGTTCAAGACCAGCCCAGCCAACATGGTAAAATCTTGCCTCTACTAAAAATATAAAAAATTAGCCAGGCGTGGTGGTGTGTGCCTGTAGTCCCAGCAACTCGAGAGGCTAAGATGGGAGGATCGCATGGGGCCAGGAGTTTGAGGTTATGAACTATGATGGCACCACTACATCCATCCTGGGCAAGAAAGTGAGACTCTGTCTTAAACAAAACAAAACAAAAACCAATTACCAATATCGTTAAATTCTTAGGCCTTAACTTGACCTATCTGCAGCATTTGACTTAGCTGATTATCCTCTTCCGCTTAAAACATCTGGTTTCCTTCTATTTTATGTGGTTCTGCTCCTCAGTCTCCTTTGCTGGCTCCTCTTTTTCTCCTCAACCATTAACATTGGAGAATCCAGGGTATGGTCCCTGGACCTCTTCTCTCCTGTATCTAAATCATCTAGGAGATTGCAACCAGTTCTCCTAGCTTTAAATACCATCTATACATTGATAGCTCCCAAATACATATCTTCAGCCTGGACTTTTCCCATAAACTCAAGACATATATTCAGTTACTCCTCAACATCTCCACTTGGATGTCTAACAGACATCTCAAATCTAGCCTACCCAAAATCAACTCCTAAGCTCTATAAATCCTCACTGCCTCTCACCAAAATAAAACTAAAGAACAATCAGCAACAACAAAACCCCTGATCTTCCCTGGAATTAATCCATCCTTCCAGAAACCACGCTAAAAATAACTGGTATTTTCCTTGATGCCTCTATTTCACAGTGTGCTTCTATGAGCTGATCAAAGAAGAATATTATTTTAAAATCACCAAAAGTTCATGAACCACTAAAATTGTTTAGTTTCTCAGAAAATAGGATTTCAGGAAGTCCCTGATTGTGTAGTTGCAAGATTCCAGTCTAATCAATTTACTTGCTCGGAAAAGAACATTTAAGAAGATGTATGGTCAATTCCAGCAGTTCAACTTTCACTTTAACTTTTCAACTTTCACTGTAAAACCACCACCTTGCTTTGTAGAACGTTTTTTTTTTTCTTTTTTCTTTGAGACGGAGTCTCGCTGTGTCGCCAGGATGGAGTGCAGTGGCGCGATCTCGGCTCACTGCAATCTCTGCCTCCCGGGTTCAAGCGATTCTCCTGCCTCAGCCTCCCGAGTAGCTGGGATATGCCAGCACACCCAGATAATTTTTGTATTTTTAGTAGATACATGATTTCACCATGTTGGCCAGGATGGTCTCGATCTCCTGACCTCGTGATCCAACCGCCTCGGCCTCCCAAAGTGTGTGGAACAGGTTTTAAAGACGGCTCCTCAACCATCACCGCTTTTGTTTTCAGACCCTCCCTCTCTGGCTGATGGAAGCCAGTGGAGAGAAGAGAACAGGAGGCTCGGAGAGGCAGCAGCGGCCGGGGAAAGTTCGCACTCGGACCAGCAGCGTGGCGCTCTCCCCGGGAGGAGCATTTGTCCCCAAGCCCCTCAGAGGAGCAAGACCCGGACCTCGAGCACTTTGGATTTCAGTCAGCATAGACCGATGGACAGATGGAAAGGAGAACGACAGAAGTACTGGAGAATCCTCAAGAAAGAAAGAAGTGGCGCGCCGTGGAGTCTCCTCTCGGACACACTGGGAAATGGAACTTGTGTTTGTCGGAGTTACTGCCAAAAAGCCGCCCAAAGTACTTGAGAGCCGCCTTGGAGAGTGGTGCTGAGTGCCCGTCAAGGTGAGGCCCGCCTGCAGCGGCGCGGGATTTTCCCCGGCAGCTCTACGCCCGCCCGAGTCGGCGCCAGAAGGGTAGCTGCGCAGTCCACATTGCTCACCGCATTCGCCAGGCGCGCCCGGAGGGGTGCCACGTGACTCCGGGTGCGTTCTCCGAGCGGAAGCCCTGGAAGGATCCTGAGGCCTTCCCTCAGGCCCGCCCCCTGCGGCCCGCACAGGCAGGTCGGCCTGGAGGTCGGTGACAGAGAGGCCGGGGCAGCGCCCAACGCCCCAAAGAACGAAGATGACGCTTACCGGGTAGAGGTAGAGCACTGCTCCCACCAACGCCAGCAAGAAGGTGACGGCGAAGATCGCGAAGTCCAACATGGTTCTTCCGCCCAGGGAGCCACGTCTCGGATCTGCCGCTCAGGCAGCAGCGCCTCAGCCTGGCCCAACTTAACGCATTAGCCTGTGGGCGGGGGCACCCCGCGAGACCCGCGAACCAACTGGCCGCGGGGGGCGTGACCGAGGCCTGCGGCTGGCGCCGGCGGAAAGAGCAATGGATCGCCGAGGAGCCAGGGAGCTGGCTCCAGTGCGCAGCAGGCAGAGGCTGAGGCCGCCCAGCGCTAGCCTCCACCCCAAGGCGGGGATTGCGGTGCACATGATTTCAGAATACGCCCGCGACTTGGGACCTAGTTGCTGGCGAAAGCAGACCCCAGGTTCCTGATAAAAGTTAGGAGTTAGCAGTGCTCTGTCTGCCGAATGGATTCAGAATTAAAACCTCTAAACCAATGGTTTTCGAAGAGAGGTTCTCGGACCAGCATCAGCGTCGCCCGGGAACTCGTTAGAGATGCAGATTATCGATGCCGGGCGCGGTGGCTCCACCTATCCCAGCACCGTGGGAGGCTGAAGCGGGAGGATGGACACCAGAGTGGGCAACCTAGCGAGACCCCCGTCTCTACAAAAAAAAAAAAAAGATTCAAATTAGCCGGGCGTGGTGGCTTACGCCTGTGGCCCTACCTACACCAGAGGTTGAGGCTGGAGGATCGCTTGAACCAGGGAGGCTTAGGCTACGCACCTCTGTACTCCAACCTGGTCGACAGGGCAAGAGCGTCTCAAAAAACAAAAGAAATGCAGATTCTCGATCCCAACCTAGACCTATTGAATCAAACACTCGGGGGCCGGGGGTGGGGGTGGGGTCGTACAACAATCTGTTTTAACAAAGCCCTCCTGGGGACGCTGTTAAATAAATTTGAGTGAAAACCACCACTGATCTAACAGGGCCAGGGAAGTGACTGGGAGTAAAACAAGAGTAGATACTCCTTGTTTTGCAGAATTTCTGTCTGAAGTACTAGTAAATGTGGTTCTTTGACACTTTCTGGTGAGCAGAGGCTGCACACTGTTCAGATTTCCTTGCTGTTAGTTCTGACTTTTGGTAAATTGCTTGAGTTTTCTAAGCTTCCATTTCCTTCTATGTAAAACAGTGAAAATAATACCACACGGAGTTGCTTGTAGGTTAAATTACGTATTTTATGAAAAGCACTTAGCACAGCTGGCAAAACCGAGTAGGTGCTATCTACTTCAGTATTTGGCATTTGTTGCCATGGGCATAAAATATCCTAGGACTACTATTTCGTATGGCTCAGAAGTTTTGACATGGCTAATGAAATACAAGGCAAGGCCTGCTACTTACTGGTGCTCCTTTTAGTGAAAGCATCCTAAAAGTATGTATAGATTTTATAGCTTTAACAATATAAAATGTCAAGCACAGGAAGCAATTTGGCAAGAGAAATTCCAGATTGCATTTTACAGCTTCTATGATAAATGACTATTACGTAAGCAGGAAACATACCTCATTGAAAATGCCAACTCTTTTGGCATCTATAGCAAATATAATGAAACATGCTATTTAATATTTCACTTGCAGAAATTGTATTTTTAAGTCTTTCTCGGCATATAAATGTGCTTTAAACTGTCATATGTTCAAATTTCATTTTTAAGTCTCTTGTTTGGAATTTTAAAGATATTTCTTGTCAAACTGATGTTCCCAACAAGTTTTCAAAACAGTAAGCATAAGAGTTTTTTTGTTTTGTTTTTGTGTGTTTTTTTTGTTTGTTTGTTTTTTTTTGTTTTTTTTTGAGGCAGTCTCACTCTGTAGCACAGGCTGGAGTGGGCAGTGGTGAGAATTTGGCTCACTGAAACCTCTGCCTCCTGGGTCCCAGTTTATACTCCCTAAAAGCAATTTCGTACTCCCTAAAAGCATTGTATATATATATATATATCTCCTTTCACACATGTTTTTATCTTGAATAAATGATTACATTTCTGGCATATTATAAATATTCATGTTTTGGGCTGGGCGTGGTGGCTCAAGCCTGTAATCCCAGCACTTTGAGGGGCCGAGGTGGGTGGATCACCTGAGGTCTGGAGATCAAGACCACCCTGACCAACTTGTAGAAACCCTGTCTCCACTAAAAATACAAAAATTAGCCGGGCATGGTGGTTCATGCCTGTTGTCCCAGCTACTCGGGAGGCTGGGGCAGTAGAATCACTTGAACCCGGGAGGCGGAGGTTGCAGTGAGCCGAGATCACGCCATTGCACTCCAGCCTGGGCAACAAAAGTAAAACTCAGTCTCAAAAAATAAATAAATAAAAATAAATAAATATTCACTTTTTGAAATTGTTACAGCTTTCTTTCACGTGTATGAAAAGGAATTTAAATATAATAGTGATGTGATAACTATCGTCAGACTTTAAAAAAACACACAAATTTGACCAGGCGCAGTGACTCACATCTGTAATACCAGCACTTTGGGAGGCTGAGGTGGACAGATCACTGAGGTCAGGAGTTCATGACCAGTCTGGCCAACATGGTGAAACCGTGACTCTATTAAAAATACAAAAATTAGCTGGGTGCAGTGGCATGCACTTATAATCCCAGCTTCTCAGGAGGCTGAGGCAGGAAAATAGCTTGAACCCGGGAGGCGGAGGTTGCAGTGAGCTGAGATCGTGCCACTGCACTCCAGCCTGGGCAACAAAAGCAAAACTCCATCTCAAATAAAAATAAAAATAAATAAACAAAATATTCACCTTTTGAAATTGTTACAGCTCTCTTTCAAGTGTATGAAAAGGAATTTAAATATAATAGTGATGTGATAACTATTGTCAGACTTAAAAAAACACATAAACTTGGCCAGGCGCAGTGACTCACAGCTGTAATGCCAGCACTTTGGGAGGCTGAGGCTGGCATATCACTTGAGGTCAGGAGTTCAAGACCAGCCTGGCCAACATGGTGAAACCTTGTATCTATTAAAAATATGAAAATTAGCTGGGTGCAGTGGCATGCGCCTGTAATCTCAGCTTCTCAGGAGGCTGAGGCAGGAGAATCACTGGAACCCAGGGAGCGGAAGTTGCAGTGAGCCAAGATGGTGCCACTCTACTCCAGCCTGGGCAACAGAGTGAAACTGGACATGGTAGCACATGACCGTAATCCCAGGTTCTCAGGAGGCTGAGGCAGGAGGATCACCTGAACCCAGGAAGCAGAGGTTGCAGTAAGTCGAGATGACACCACTGCATAGCTTGTACAACAGTGTGAGACTCTTTCTTAAAAAAAAAAAAAAAAAAGATGGTGGGATAGACGGCTATTTCTGACTGCGGTATAGATCTTATTAAAAGAAAAAAAAAAAAAAGTTTTAGGCCTGACTTTCCAACATAAGATGGTGTAGATGAAGAACCAGAAGACTTCCATTCTTCTCAAAGAATATTTTGTAGCCAGGCATGGTGGCTCACGCGTATAATCCCAGCACTTTGGGAGGCCGAGGCGGGAGGATCACCTGAGGTCAGGAGTTCAAGACCAGCCTGGCCACTGTGGTGAAACCCTTTCTCTACTAAAAAGAAATACAAAAAATAGCTGGGCATGGTGGCAGGCACCTGTAATCCCAGCTGCTAAGGAGGCTGAGGCAGGGAGAATTACTTGAAGGGGAGGCAAATGTTGCAGGGAGCCGAGATCATGCCACTGTACTCCAGCCTGGGCTACAGAGTGAGACTTTGTCTCAAAAAAAAAATAATAATATTTTGTGCAGCTGCAGGGCATATGTGGCTGAGTCAGGCCCTAAAATCTACTTGTGCAGGTAGTAGAATTATAATGCCAGTTAAAAGCAGAATCTTGCCAAGCCTTTTATTCTAAATTAGGGAGCTATTTGAGAGGGAATAGGACTCTGAGATCAGGACATTTGGTCGGAGAAAGACAAAGCTGAAACCCCAAGTCCCACTGAACCTTTCTTGCTGATGGGGGAGTGGGCCTATCTTCCCTGTCCGAGGAAACTAACTTCCCTCACATGGAAGTCTTTAAGAAACTTCTTTTGGGTCAGTTACATAACAAGGTAGTGTCCATTATCCTGAGGAAGAACTCCCATTTCTCCTCATTATCTCTAGGCAATAAAGACTGATAATAATAAACTAATAAAATAATAAAGGTAATAATGGACTGTTGGCAATAAAAACAGTTAAACCATCATAGTCCAGGGAGACAATTACCAGTTCAGTTCCTAGAGAACAGTGGTACTGCAAGAGAAAGGGGACAGGTGATGGAGCACAGCAGAGTGGGTAATTTGTCACTCACAGTTTACTATTGCCAGCACATGGTCATAAAAAACAGAAGACATTTGGTTGGTTCTATTATTGTTTTAAAATACTCTACTCATAATGCCTGGACCTGGAACAGAACATTGGCTTATACATCAAAGGAGCAATAAGTCCTTGCTAATTTGTTTTAGAGGAATGCTAAGAAGCATGTATGAGAATGGGTATTTAAGGAAAACAAAACATAAAGGATGGTAAGGGCCAAATTTATTTATATGGTTTCATTCACCCAGAATTTGGGAAGTCAATGTGTTAACTTGACATATTAGTCCATTTTCATGCTGCTGAGAAAGGCGTACCCGAGACTGGGCAATCTACAAAAGAAGGTGGTTTAATGGACTTGCAGTTTCACGTGGCTGGGGAGGCTTCACAATCATGGTGGAAGGTAAAAGGCATGTCTCACATGGTGGCAGCCAAGAGAACTTGTGCAGGGAAACTCCCCTTTATAAAACCATCAGATCTCATGAAACTCATTCGCTATCACAAGAATAGCATGGGAAAGCCGCCCCCCGCCATGATTCAATTATCTCCACCAGCTCCCACCAATGACACATGGGAATTGTGGGAGCTACAATTCAAGATGAGATTTGGGTGGGTAAACAGCCAAACCATATCATCATACCCCTGGCCCCTCCCAAATCTCAGGCCCTCACATTTTAAAACCAATCATCCCAACAGTCCCCCAAAGTCTTTTCCCCCCCGTGAGACGGAGTCTCACTCTCTCGCCCAGGCTGGAGTGCAATGACACAATCCTGACTCACTGCAATCTCCTCCTGGGTTCAAGGAATTCTTCTGCCTTAGCCTCCCAAGTAGCTGGGATTATAGGCACCTGCCACCATGCCTGGCTAATTTTTTTTTTTTGTATTTTTAGTAGAGACAGGGTTTCACCATGTTGGCCAGGCTGGTCTTGAACTCCTGACCTTGTGATCCACCTGCCTCAGCCTCCCAAAGTGCTGAAATTACAAACGTGAGCCACTATGTCCAGTCATCCCCCAAAGTCTTAACTCATTTCAGCATTAACTCAAAAGTCCAAAGTCTCCTCTGAGACAAGGCAAGTCCCTTCTGCCTATAACACTGTAAAATCAAAAGCAAGTTAGTTACTTCTTAGATACAATGGGGGTGCAGGCATTGGATAAATACACCCATTCCAAATGGGAGAAACTGGCCAAAACAAAGGTACTAATGGCCCCATACAAGTCCAAAATCCAGCGGGGCAGTAAAATCT